TTATAGAATTTAATTATGAATATTATTAATTTAATTATTTATGTTATTATTATTTTTTTAATATTTATTTATTTAATTTTTTCCTTTTCTTCAAGATATCTATTCATTTGCTGAAGTAAATTATTTCCAAATTTTAAAAGAAATCTTTAAAAAGTCTATTAATAATTTTCTGTAGCTAGCTAATCTACCTTGGGTCAAGGGTTTGCATGTAGCTGCCCATATGCTCTCCTCTAAATTCCGGTCGGTATTCCAATCGAATTGCAGCTGTCCATTTGTCAAGCTACGTAATCAAGTTGATGACAATAATTTACAAATCTGTTCGCATTTGGCATGCAAAAACCTATGCGGAAACTCTTTAAATTCAAATTAAGGCACCTAAAAAACAAGCAGAAGAAAATAGACAAAAACTGAAGCGAAACAAAGGCAGAAAAAAGTAAACCAAACCTTACAAGATAAAAAAATATATATATGTGTATATAATAGAAACGATAGGAGACAAAAAAAACTATTGCAATCGCATTTCCTTATTTTTGTTGACAAAGCAAGAGAGGGAGAGAGAGAGATAGAGGGAGAGAGATATATACCTCTGGAGATCTGAAATCTTTGGTTGGGTAAGCCAATGTGTTGGGCACGTGAGGCGAGGGCTGCTAACCCATATTTCAAAGTCAGTCAGCCAGTCGACAGGTTAGCCTAATTGCATGTTGATTATAATGTACGTGCGTGTACGTGTGTACCTATGTGACTGTGTCTGCGTGTGTGTGTGTAGTTGACAATTTACAATTTGTTATTGCTGGCATTAAAGGTGTCTCTCCCTCAGCTCTCTCTCTCTCTCTCTTGGGTCCCCTGCGATTATGCAATTGGCAACGTGCAGAAATTGTTGAAGAGTTTGTTGGGCTTTGCCTTTTTGGTTCGCTTAGTTTGTTGGCCGCATTCGAAAGCCCAGCCATGACTTTGCATAAGATTCAGTTTCAGTCTCGGTTTTGGATTCAGTTTTAGTTTCAGTTTCAATTCCAGCCTGTCTGTCTATCTGTCTGTCAGCCTTTAATATGGTTACCCAGGTTGACAGTGCTCGCATATCTACTATCTATCACCCAGTCAGGTCTACGACGCACGTAAATCGCATAATGCACATTACGTTATCACGTAACCGCCAGCCAAACCCTCCTCCGCAGAGTCTTCTATTTGGTAATTTGTTATTGTTGTTTGCTTGCCATGTCAATAAGCACTTTGCCTCTTCTTCATTTTTGGCTGTCGAGTTTATTGGCTTTGTCAATTTTCGCCTGCTTGGCATTATCGAGCATTATTGACCCCGCCTTTATTATAGCCGTGTGCGAGTGTTGTAATCCTCTGCAATATTTGCTCTTCAAATTTCGGCCCATACCCTTGGTGGCTGGCTGCCAAATGATTTCTTTTAACATTTAACTTTTTCAGTTTTCTTGAAATGCAAATGTTAGATTGACCTCAGAAAATCCCAACGCCAAGCAGCGTCGCCTGCCTTTGGAATAATGATGTGAACGGAAGCCGAGTTAATTGATCTAATTGCAGCCACGTGAAGTGGGCCACCTAACGGCCCAGTTAGGGCGCCAAGGTCACAGTTGTAAAATACCTTGACAGCCCTGAGGTATACCTGATTCAAATGCATAACATTTATTTATTTTATTTATATTCCATTCGAACTTGGTTATAGAAATATTTGTAGATCGTTTTATTACATCTAGCTGAATTTCCTGGGTTGCTATGTATGTGTAAATGTTGTATGATGCATGTTTACATTTTTAACAAACTTATATATATCACTGGATTGAGTTGACCATGTTTATATTATATTGTATATGCTTTGTGACTCTTAAAAAAATAAATAAAAATAAAATAAAATAGTTCCATATTTCATTTTATTATTGGAGGCTGACAGATCTAGTTCGCACAGTAAAATGTTAAGCCTAAAGCCCAGCTATTCGATCAAACAGTGAATCATTCATATAAGCAGTCCTTCAATGAGTCATTAGTCAAAGAGACAGCTAATCAATATTAATGATTAGCAAATCAACACTAAAAGGTTTCATTTATCGCAGAAACCTATTGATTGACTATTTAAATATTTCTACAATTTAATTATATTTTATAATTATCTTTATATTTTATAAAATTACTTTTAAGTTGAATTATTTACATTTTTTGATTGAAAATTACTAAAAATATATCATAGTAAAAGTTTTGAATTTTTGCTAGTCTCATGTATTAAATGAACTCAATTCATTTGAAGTTTGCTTACTTTCGATGACATTTCATTTAACACCATTTCTTTAAAAAAAAATTGTCACACATTTCAAAAAAAGAAAAAAAATATACATATACAAATATATATATTAACATAAACAAAATATGTATTTTTCACAAATTCTCCACAGAGTCCATCTCTGGCATTTCATTTCGAAATTCCGGGAAATGCACTCGAATGCTTTATTTTTACATATATTTTTTGCGACCATTTAGAGTGTTGATTAGCGCATCAGTATAAATTAGCGGCGATGCCATAAAAGCCAACAACAAGTCACACTAGTCATGGCAAAGAGTCGGCACACCGCGATGAGTTTCGCGCACGTCACTTGGCCATAAAAGGAGTTCACTCTCAAATGAACCAGAGAACTTGCACGTGAAGGGCGAGTGCTTCACGTGCTTGGCCATGATTAGAGCGAGCTCCAAGCCCCCAGCATAAAGTTCTGGAGCACTGGAACTGATTATTATGGCAACAAAGACGAAGTTCAACGAACTGCAGAAAACGAAGAAAACTTTCTTTTGAACGAACAGTGAGAAGACATAAAAAAAGGTAAGTGTAAATTTATTTAACATAGAAATTTTGGCTGAGCCGAAGCGCAAGAAAAATTGTATGTGGCTGGTGGCACTGAGAGAAAAATAACCGGTAACAGAAAAGGTAACGAAGGTAACTACAATAACAACAACAATGACATTAACAACAGTAACAATAACAATAACAAATGTCAATGCTAACAACTTTAGCTGTGGCTAGCCCAGTTATGGTTGCCCGGCATTGTTCGGGCGCCCTGGGAGGCGAGGCGTGGGTACTTACCGTTATCAGCGAAGCATCTTCGAGCACATCAGATTTGAGGTTGCGTCCGCCGCCAGCCAAATTGGCGTTGCTCGAGAGGAAGACGCTGTTCAACAGATTCTTGAAGCTCAGCGAGCTGTAGCTGAAGGGCGAGAGTATTGTGAAGGCGTCGGCGCTGCCGCAGACCAGAAGTGCCACCAGGCTGTGCAACAGCAGCGCCGTTGGCCATGAGCCCCAGCGGCACGCGCGACTATTCGGCCACATTTGGTGTTCAACGGCGAGCCAGACAGCCGGAGAGAGAGAAAGAGAGTGCGAGAGAGAGGGAGGGAGAGACAGGGAGACAGAGACAGAGCCAGAGACACAGAGAGAGAGAGAGAGAGGCTCTCGCACACAGACACACGCACAACACTCACTCGTTAAATTGGCAATGCAACCGTTGCTAGCACCTAAGCGTAACGATTACGTCGATCTACAGCCGATGGGCTCCCCCCTAAGAAAATAGCTTCACTTGCAAAACACTTTTGATGATCGAGCTGTGTGTCTTATGTCACTTGTGGCATGTGTTATCCTTTGCTGAGTCCAGGATCATTCGCACTTGTTATCGTTTGCTTTGTGTATGGATGGAAGTCTACTCTACGGCTTTGTGAGCTAGCTGAAACGCGCACGCGCGAACTGTTTTCTCTGGCCAACCGATCTGCTGGAGCTGCGATGTTCAACTGACTCGAAGCATGGGCCTCGACTCGTCAGACAGGCTGGGCCTGAGCTGCGGCCAGCAGTGCAGCGAGCTCGAAGCCAACATGTTGCAGCTGAGCAGACACCGATCAACATTATCGTTGGCTCGCACTCCATGCGGGCCACTCATGGGCTTCGAGTACTCCAATAATTATAGCTATTTATGTGTGCGCCGTAGAAATGCTTAAGCTTTCAATTCGCTTTTGTTTTTGTTTTTTTTTTTTTTTTTTTTTTTTTTTTTTTTTTTTTTTTTTTTGGGTTCTCAGCTAATAATCATAATTACTAAGTAGAAAGTTAGTAATTAGCTTAAGTGTGAGAAGCATCAAGTATGTTAATAAGTAATAAATTCACCAATAAATATATAAATATACATAAAAATTAATAACTTAAATATATAAAAATATACAATAAATATAATAAATATATAACAATTTTAAAATATATTTAAATTTGATTTAAAAATGATAACTTATATGAAAAAATTAATAAAAAATTTTAATTTTAATTAAATATTAAATATGAAATATGAAATTACGTATATTAATGCTTTAAAATTACATCAATTAACTTAAGAAAGATTGGTCGTTATATATTAAAAAATAAAAATAAAATAAAATAAAATAAAGCAGTAAATAAAATCCTATCTTACCTAATAAACTTTTTATTCTTGTTTTCAATAAATAAAAAATATATATTTGCAATATACGAATTATATTGAAAAAGTTTTATTTTTACTTACATAAGTAATTTTTATTAATTAAATTTTTGTTTGTATTCCAAAATATTTTTTAAAATATATTTGTCTATATTACTTATACTTTAATTAGCTTGCAGCTTCCTTCATGGTCGCGTGCAGAGTTCATGATCTAGAGCAGCTGATAGCGCTGCTGCTGACCTAGCTCAAGGAATTGGCTTCTGTGGTGGATCGGCTGTGTTTCGGACCCAACATGTTCGACGCCCCCATGCGACACACTCAAACAGGTAGCGTGACTTTTTACTTGGCCGTTTTTATCTCTCGGCCTGCCAAACAGAGATCTATTATATTATCAAGCTGTACGTTTGTTTTGTCTGCTGGCGACGTGACGTTTGTTGCTGCTATTATTTTGATTTGTTGTTGTTACTTTTTTGTTTTAATGCAGCGCGTGCCAAGCAAGTTTTTCGCCTAAGTCTTTCGTTTTCGCACTCAGCTCGCCTCGTGTGGGCTTGAATTTTTTTTCAGTTCGTGCCGCGGGCCGTTGATACCTCGATTGTTTGTTGTTGCTTATTGTTGTTGTTGCTGTCTTACTGACTCGGTTTCAGCATTCGCTGTTACGTCTGCTGCCCGCCGCTGTCGACGTCGCGCCTCTGCCCAAAGTTTCTGTTTCCAGCCAAGGTAATTGCATTTGCACAAAACCCCCAGCTATTCAGCCACGGCACGCCCCACTGCACCCCAAGTCGAAAACGGCATTAACCAAGCAGCTGGCAGCGCCCGCTTTCTGCATTGGGATTCAGCTGGAGTTTTACTTTTTGGGGTAGGCAACTCGCGTTACGTTTTCGTTTGCAAAATGCGAGCGAAATGTTGAATTCAAGATTGACGGCGGGAAATTGTGCTGCGATTTTCAATTGCTTTGATTACGAGTCATTATGCATGTGGACTTATTGGGCGGCGCATCGTCTGTGTCAACTATTGTCAAGATTTTGCAACCATCATCATCATCAGCATCATCATCATCGTCGTCGTCTTCATTATGATTTCCCGGCTGTAATCTGTTGTTGTTGGCCTTGGCCTGAGCCAATTTGTCAGGGCTGCACTCGAGCCAAGCCAGAGTCGGAGTCTGATTGCGAGTCGCAGTCTCACTCTCGCTCTCAGTTTCAGTTTCAGTTTCAGTCTCAGTCTGAGTAGTGCTCAATGGCAGGCAATATAAACATTAATCATAAAATTCAATCACCATTTTTACATGCATTTTTACAACATCCACGAGCTGCGATTTGCGCATGTGAACCAAGGCGATATTAAATTGCATGCGAGCTGCACAGATGCCCCTGACGCTTTCACACCCATAGGACCCGTTGCCCTGCCCCAGTCGCGGCATGCCGAATGTCTTGCGCATTCCACAGCGAACATGTCATGGACACGCGATCCAGGCCAGGAGCAAGGTCAGCCGCAGCGTCGAAGCTGCAGCGTCTATTTGGCCAATTTGCAGTTGGCTTAATTGATGTTGTTACAATTGCATTAGCTGTAATTAAAGTGCTGCTGACTGAATACCCTGTAATTATATTATTCACTGCTTGCAATGCGCTTGGCTTAAAAAAAAGTGATAAAAATTATGTAAACAGTTGTCACTGTTTGTCATTTTTCAATTAAAGCAATTGACAAATGGCCGCATTTAAAACTTGAACTTAAAAAAAAATATATATATATTTATTTATTTTCTTACATTAACAAACTTTGAAAATTAGTATTTAATTTTCAATTGCTATTGTATTTTATGAGTTAAAGTATTTCATTTTAGTTTTAAATAAAAATATTTGTAAAACTGTTTGTTTATTATTTTATTTATTATTTATATTATAATATATATTTTGTACATATTTATAATACCTACATAACAATAAAGTTTTATAATAAATTGAATATATATTAATATTTTATTTATTTTTTTTATAATATTAACAATAAATTAAAATTATATATTTAAATTGTTATATGTATATTCAAGTTTCGGGATTATATTTTAGTTACAATTTCCTTTTTATTATTTTCTTATATAAATATATTATTATGTATATATTCATTTTTTAAAATTTATTTTACAATTTATTATTTATTTTTATTTTTTGAAAACATTTTCATTTTATTAATACTTTTTATTATTATTTGAATTATTTATTCTTAACCTTTTTGCTTTACACATTATGAATGTTTAATAATTTCATTTGTTTTTACAGGGCATCTCGCAGTCGTGCTGCAACACTGCTGTACCTTGCAGATATTCTTGCAACATTATACGCAGCAAGTTTCTGGTGTCAAAATTGCCAATAACTAAAACAAGAAAACTGCCGGCAGTTGCGACTCGCTTTTTGTTTTGGACACAGTCGAAACTGTTGCAATTTAATGCCTCGGCTCAAGGTCAGAAGGCGCAAGTGTTTGTTGTTGTTATTGTTGTTGTTGCTGCTGTAACTGATTTATTGTCTGCTGCGGCTGTGGCAACTTTTGGCTGAATTGTTTTTGTTGTGTCTGTTTTTCTTTTTCAGGCTTAAATGCAGCGTGACACTGAAATTGTCTGTAAGACTAAGTGTGTGCCGTAACGAGGGAGTGAGCGAGAGGGCGAGAGAGAGAGAGAGAAAGAGATTGGTAAAGAGAGAAGCCCTGCAAAAAGGGAGTGGGCAGATACGTATAGTGCAATTTGTTGTTTAAGCGCTTTTTGCCTGCGACTCTCGACACGCAGATGCTTCCAGCAAATCGTCTCTTGGCCTTGTCAGGATGTGATATAGTCTGTTTCGATTTTTTGTTTTCATTCTGCCCCTGCCCTCAGCTGACACATTTTAAGCCAGCTACATCATTTCCATATCCAATTCTTGCTTGTATGTCCCCATTGACAGACGAAACAGAGTCAGGGATCTGATGTCGCTGACATCTGTGGCGAAAGATAAACATTAAAGAAAACAATGCAAAAATAAACACAAGCTACAGTATAAATAAGTGAAGAGATAATAAACCGCATGACTGAAGTTTGCCAATATTTAATTTTTTTTATGTAAATAAACAAGCGTGATTACATTTCAAAAGACTTTGCTTGAGCTATTTCTATTATTTGTAAATATAAAATTTTAAATCTGTCGGAAGCTGCCCAGTTAAGTGGGACTTTAATCATTTTATTAAAATACCTTGACCGTGGCCTTATTTGAGTACGAAAAAAAATACAATCCAATTAATGATATATATTTTTTATATTTTTATGAATTTATTTGTCTATTTTCTTAAAGATTTATTTACTATATTTATTTCTAATCTTTAATTTATTCAACAAAATAGTTCTTCAAACTTTATTTATTTCTATAGTAAGCACAGCTCCTCTTGCTCAATGAATAGTTGTGGCACGCCACCTGCCACGCCCACCCACTTAAAGGCGGGAACATCATCTGCAACTGCAACATGAAATGACGTCATTGATTGCTTTCGCAGCCTCTTAAACGTCATTTAATTGCCACACTTGCCACATGTTGCGCCTACGCCAACGACTAAACAACGACTATAATCAAGCAACAACAACAACAACAACAACAGTGAGTGTGTGTGTGGCTGCGTAATGCGGTAGTTGTTGTGCTCACGATTTCTGTGGCTTTATTATTTACGAGAAATGAAATGATATGACGATTGTTATGCGGTTAGATGATGTTGGGGCTGAGCCAACGGCAGCCTCCACTGCGGCGTATACTTAATAATGATTATGTAAACGCAAAGGCAGTCGCAATGTTTCTAAAGTAGCGCTTAGAAAAATATTGTGAATATTTCACAACTTGTGACGCGGTGCACTAACTGTCATCAATATTTGGTAAGAAATTCCAAGCGCATGCCAATTTAATGCCCGTTGCAGCCACAGAAATGCCAATAAGCCAGCCTCTCCCATCCCATCTAGTTGCAGTCACTCTCTCTCTCTCTCTCTCTCTCTCTCTCTCGATCTATCTATCTATCTGTCTCTTTGGTTTTGTGCTCTCCCGTCTATCGGCAACAATTTGCAATGCTCTCTGGCAAAATATTATATAATCAGGCAGCCCAGCCGGCGCCGCGCATTTTTCTGTTCGTGATTCAACCGCAAATCTCTGTTGCTGTTGTTGTTGTTGTTGTTGTTTCTTCATTTTCGCAAGCCAAATAAAAAATCTGCTAATGGTGCAGTAGGCGACATCGAAAGTGGTTTTCTTTCTGCATTTCATAAGGGGTAACTCAGCTCGATCGTGCCATTTGTGCAAAACTCTGCGATTAGGCAGTGCTCATGTATGTAAATTGAACCACTTGCGGCTAATTACATTTCGCTATTAGGCTATAGGGTTGCACCAGCTTAATGGAAATTGGCAAATTATGTGAAGTGTCTATAAATACATATAGATTTGTATATACATATATTAAAATATAATATTTAAGGCTGACCATATTCAACGGATCAATCAATCTTGTATCTTTTGCGGGAGAAGTCGGCCTTATGTCAGTAAAAGTAGATTTTTAGTAGAGAATATTATATATATATCTCCCAAATTGAATCTATTAAAGAGACAGACTAAATGAAAAGAAAAATATTGTGAATATTTCATCCCATGCCACGAGAGTGTATTACAATTTTCTATATTTATATCTTGGTTAATTTGTGCAGCAACTTTTTGTTTTGGTTTCAACGAAGAGAGAAAAAAAAAAGTAAATAAAACTGGAGGCAACTAAAATAAGAGAGAAACACAAAAAATATACGAGACAAGCAACAACAGCTGAGCCGGTGGCGTTGTTTATGTATTTTGGTTTTTATTTTTTTCATGCAACAGCAACAATGACAACAACAGCATGAACGAGGCTTGCCACAGCACACAGCAAACAACAAACAACAAACGACAACAACAACAACAACAATGCTGTACAAGATTTGTCATTCAAAGCGCGCTGGCCAAAAAACCAACAACAAAATGTTGGTATATGTGTCAAGTTGTTGTTGTTGTTGTTGTTGCTGGTGGCGCACTCTGTTCCTGTTTACATTTGTTGCAATATAAGCAAAAACATAAAACACATTAAACACATTTTTCGAGCCAGTTTCTGTGGCTGCTGCCTCGAATCATAGGCTTGACATATATATCCCAATAGGCTGTTTATTTGCCAACTGTTGTTGTTGTTGTTACTGTTGTTGCTACTGTTTGCTACTGTTTTTTCCATGAATACTTTTGCCTACACATTTTTGATGTTTATATTTAATATTTAGGCCTATTTACTTTGGGCGTTACGTCTGCTCCATTTTGCCAATTCTAATCAACATTTAAGTCTGCTTTGTTCAAATTTTAGTTTTGATGATGTTGCATCAAAATCTGTGTTTTTGTCTATTGAAATTGGTTTTGTTTAGCTTTTGGCTCAGATGAAATGAGCAAAAATCAAGCAGTTGCCCTGTTGAAGGGGCATTACAATATATTATCATATGAATAGATTTCACTGTGTATATTTAAAAGCTCTTTAAGTTTCTATTGCTGCTGGTCTTTAACCAATTTGCTTAAAAATAAACATTTCATATTAAGTTAAGTTGATTTGGAAATAATAAACTTTAAAAAAGTATTTTATTTTTTATCTCAGCAATCTTTGCGCTTTATATAAAGTAATCCGTGCAATTTATATAATTTCTGCTATTCAACTAAGCTGAGCGGACTTCGTGCCAAGCCCTTTGTGGCCTGAACTTATGCCAAATTATGAGCTAATCTAAATTCTAATAGACCCAAACGACCTACACGAGCTGCTGCCGAAATTGTGAATGTTAAAACTCTTAACGCAATTGGGCAGGCCAAACACGTTCATGTCACATGGAAAACACTAACAACAACAGCAAAAGCAACAGCAACAGCGACAGTGACAACAACAAACATTGCTGAGACGTAACAATTAAAAACGCTAAAAGCATTTTATATAACATTTCGCATAATGCAAAACAATTCACACGCCTCGAACTTTTTATGAGCCACAGCACACACCCCAACTTACATAGGTAAATATGTATATATAAATATAAATATATATATGTGTGTATATGTAAACATAATTTATATTTCTATACATACACATACTCGTAATTGTCACAAGCGCTATAAACACACACATACATACATACACGCATACATACGTACATATATTCAGTGAGAGCTGAAAAGAAATGTTTATTAGACAACTTTGGATAGCTGACAGGCAGCTAGACATAGCATAATACGTCATAAACCGAAAAATAATAAACTAATGAACTTATATATAAGGCGAGACCTAGCTACTGCTCGACTGGCAGATACCCTGTACTGAGTGTAAAGATTCAGCTGATCTTCTCTTTGCTGTAGATAGGAAATTCAATCAGATTGCTATAAGATTGTCCCTAAGAGTTAGAAAAACTCTCACACATACATACTAGACTTCTTCTATCTATTACACATACATACTTCAACTCCTTATACCCCACATACCCACTTCTCTACTGGGTATATATGTTTATAATAATGTTTATCATTTTGCAGCAAGCAACATTAACAGCGCCACGAAAAATTAGCTGAAAATTATGCCTGAATGAATGTTGTGCCAAAATTATGTTAATTATTTACACAAGTGCAGGCTGCACTCGTGTGTGTGTGTGTGTGGGAGACAGAGAGAGTGCATGAATCTCTGTGCGACTGGGGGCCATGCAAATGAGCCTCGAGGATGTGTTTTGGTTTGCCACGCATAAATTTTCTTCGGCCTGAGCGCTTGAAGCGAACAGTTTGCCAAATGCTAAAAACAATTTTATTGAGCGAAAATGTGAGTGTAGAACACGGCTGGAAAGGGAAGAGGGAAACTTGATAGCTCCGGGGTACAGAGTGCCGCCACAGTGTTGCATAATTAATTTGTTTACACAGTTGTAAACAAACTCAGCGCACACTGGCAGGAATTCGGGAATGATGCGAGGACTCGTCGCTAATAGAAATACATTTATATGCAAAATTTATAATTGCGGGCATGTGTCAGGGTGAGTCGATGTGAAATAAATTTTGTTTCTATTTTATATCAAGTTGACTATGATGCGTTGCGTTCATTTTAATGATCCGCCAAGTAGGCGTAGGCGAATATATTCCCGTAAAACTCATTGCCATAGTCTAAAGCATAAGCACAT